AAAAAAAAAAAAAAAAAAAAGACGATACCACAACAATAACGAATAATTGGGATTCCTTGAACTTTAGGTGGTCCTAATTTATGTGATGAGGTCAGGTACAGTGCATAAAGTCCTAGGCTGGTTCTATCTGCCCCTGCTCTAAAACAGCAGCCAACCGCAATAGTCCAGAATAGTGCAACACTTGTAAACATTCTTTCGACTATTTCTTGTGAACACATCTTCCATCTCTTCATCTCCATGCTTGATGTCGAATAACAGCTGCACAAGTAGAATCTTTGCCGGCAAGCCTCCAAACATCCTTACATGTGTCTGCAGTGCCGAAATATACCTATGCTGGAATCAAATCTGAATGTGTCGCTGCAGGAGTCGGAGGAGGAGGAGGGCAAGACTAAGCTCCTTGCAGCATCCTCTCGAAAGGCCGCCCTGAACTTCAGCGGCACCGACATCTGACGAACACAGGCAAGGAGGGTTTTCTTTTGGAGCTCGACGGATTCCAAGCTGGGGCGGGACAGAAAATGTAGCCATCCCACAGCATGAAGCTTCACGCCTGCATTTTTGAATTGTAGCGCTCCCATCCAGCCTCAATGGGATCCTGGGCATAAACGTCCGGCACCATAAACTCGGAAATCATCTTGCCATAGACCATAACACGCTCGTGGCCCCAAACTGACCAAAATGCAAGCAAAGGAGTGGCTCAAAGTTTGGGAGTTGTTTTGGTTTGTCTCATGCCGTCTTGGACACCCCGTACTGTGCCAGGACTAGCGACGTTCGATGATATTAGCTGCAGGAAGCCGGGTCGGCTACAGTAGTAGGATAGGTATAATATCGTTTTATGACACGCATGGGCCTCTTCTGCAACCAAGCGCATCCAAGCCCTCGAAGGAAAAAGCTCCCTAGATAATTGGCTTCAGTGTTGTTGCTACAGATAGCATTATTGAATACTTCTTTTCTTTACAATGACGAAAAAATGTGGTGCCATCAGTCAGTCCTATCAGCAATTCCAGTTGCATCATCTTGTTTTATTGTCACTACATAATGAATGTCATGAACACTCTTTTTGATGCAACTTTGATCAAGCTTGACAAGCTTGATTTCTGTAATAGTGCACGTCCTTCTATCCTGACTGATTACGATGCTATGACAGCTGTTATGTTTAAGACCGACTTAACCGTGCTCATGACAGCTGCCAGCGTTGCATCTCCAACGCCGCGATCCGTGGAGGTGCAACTTTTGAAGGCGCATAGCCGCGATCCCTCTCGCAGTTGTCACTCTTGAGTCCACTATTCCGTCATCCCTGTGGCGTTTGTGACGTTTGAAGCCCCCGAAGCCCCGGGCGCCCATGTCCCTCCCCTGTCAGCCGTGCGACCTGCGACGCTGCTTTTGTGACCCGGGTTTACTCTTGATGCCGGGTATAATTTTTTGACCCCCCCGACTCTGAGCTGGCCAAAAATTGAATAGTAGCTTGGAGCTAAAACGGCTACGGCTATGGTCTAGGGCAAGTTCCAATGCGAAGGATAAACCACAAAAGGAGACACGAAAAGTCCATCAGCGACTTTGCGGTTACAATTGCGAAAGCAAGAAGTGCACAAGGCCATTTGACACGCTTTTGGCATTAATTAAGGCAAACACGTCTTGTTTTGCAGTCACGTGGTCTGAGGGTGGATGTTGCGGCAATCCAGAAGTCTCTACACGGCCCTTGAGAAGGAAACTGAGCTGGAAGACAGTAATCATGGGGCTCCCTTCAGCAAACTATTTCGCGAAAGAGACAAAGCTTCACGAGGTAACATCGTACGTGCGACAAATGCCACCTCGGCAGCCACACTGATAGCAATGGTCCAACTAGAATTTGCAACTCAGTCACTCAGTTTTCACCCCCTAATGGCCCCAGGGCTATCAGATTCAGAATCTACGAACATCAGTGTGTGAGTGAATCCTTGTAGCCCTTCAACAGCACCTGTATTCAGCCACCACTGCAAGATTGCCGACTCATTGACGCCCATCCAACCCTAGAACTCGAGAAGCCCAGGGCATCCAACGCAGAACTATGTCGGACACCCGCCCCCCTCCCTCCCTTGCACCTGGATGTGTCTCTCGGTTCAGCAGCAGCCGGGCCTGAAGCCTGGCATCTTCCAAGAAGTTCGTTAAGATGGCCATCAATAAAAGACTTGTAAGGGCTCCACATGCACCCTGCGAAGGGAGAACCTCAAAATGGATCCTCAACTGGCACCGGTCGAACCAACGAATGGAGGAGACTAGGGACTTGACAAAGGACTGGATAAGACAGGTTCGTAGACTCCACACACATACACAAAGGCCCGCAATCTTCTTGTAGCCAGCGCCACTTGCTCACAGAATAGATGCCGGTCATTTCAGCAGCCGCGCGCCGCTCCTGGCTTGGTGGCGTTTCGAATCTGTCAAGCAATGAGGACTCAACGTGCTCCAGGTGTTCGGGGCTTCTGGCTTTCATAGCCGAGGATGTAAAATTTGCCGGTAGGTTCAAAAGTTCAAGTTGCTGCCCGTCAGTCCTTGGCATTGGCCACGATAGTCTTCCTGAGGCAGGGTGTGGCACAAATGCCTGATGCCCTTATGAGAGCATCTTTCCAAACTCCTCGTCTAAGGTACTGCAGGGCTCCCCGTCTCTTTACCAGGCTTCGTCGGCATAGATGTCGCAAATAGAAACATGTCGCTTTGCATGTCGGCTACTGTAAGTTGAAAGTTCACTGTAATGACTTTTGGATTGCGGAGTGTCGCTTTTTAGGTTTCCGCATCGCCTTACAGCCTTTTTTTGCATTCCGTGTCCAGCCTTTACTTGCTTGACATGTTGCAGTTTTAGAAGCTCGCTCAATGAGACAGGGAGACACTGCGACGCTGAAATGATGCATCAGCAACTCGCTCGACACCCTTTGCTAGCTGGCGTATTGCTGTAACTCCTCAACTTCCAAACCCCCGGTTGCCGGATGACCCTCTGCCTAAGTGGCGGAGCACCGCGCTTGACATCGCTCAGACGAAGAGGCCGCGGGAGCCTTTGGAGGCATATGCGGCTTTGATTACCTAACAGCCCCAGGAGTCTCATCATTGACTGAATGGTGGTGCTTGTGTACAGAGAATGACCGCAAAATGCAGTTGTTCTTGTGAATTGTACGAGGAATATCATTCAGCCAAAGCGGCCCGAAATACCCTCACTAACAAAACAGCACTTCAAGCTCTTGTTTCAATCCAGGGAGCCTTCCTGTCAGGCGCAGGACTCGCTCTGCCTCCTCACACCAGGTTTTCAATTTAACTAGGGAACCTGTTTGCCGTTTAGAAGATGCTCTTGCAAGGCGGGCAAAGGCAAGCTGAAAAGCCAAGTACCTGCGAAACCGGCATTGCGGGACGCCGTGTTTCAAGGGCTCTGGCAGATCGCCGTTTGCGGTCATGGTAGCAGCTTTGAACACGGACACTTGAGCGGCGCCAATAACCTAGAGGCCAGCCTTCTATCCGAGTAACATGTTGTCAAGACTTTTACTCTTATCGAACAACTCATATGGATTACCAACGCTATCGTTTTGTTTATATTGCTTAGTAGGATTTCCTCTTCTCCCTTTCCCATGACCTGCACATACCGATTAGCTATGTCAGTTCTAATATGAGCTGTAAAGTCCCTTATGCTCGAGCGGCGCAGCCTCGCCACTGATCATGAAACCTTCAGACAGAGACTGCCAAAGTCTAAGAAATCCAGCAACCCCCAGAAAATAGAGACTCAGCCAACGCTGGCTCAGGATACTGAGACTCCTGCTAGCACCCCTGAAACTTAATTAAACATTTTCTGCACTGGGGGACGCTTCCTCGGGGCTGCGCGTCTTCGCCCGGTTCCTCAAGGCCACAATTACTTGAAGCGAAATCTTCTGGCACAAAAAGGAAGAGGATGCAACCCGGATGGAAAAACAGCACTTTCATAGATGACAGATCATGACTACGTACCGGTGGGCAGGAACATACCCGCTGGCAGCATCATCCTAGATCATAGCCTTCTACCAAGAGCAAACCATAGCAAGCCCGCTGGCTCTGGGTTGAAAAAGATCACACGCACAAGCAAGTCTAAAGTGGACCTGTGTCCTGGGGTCCCACTTGGCCGAGTTGTCGTGTTCCATACGCCATGCCTGTTTTAAAAGGCAGCTTCAAGGTATCTGGTTCAATATTGCGACTTCGAGGCAATGGTGCTTTGACCCAGAAAATCCATTGCCCCCTAGCCACCCCACTAAACGGACCCTTACATCCTAAATCCCCAAGCCAATGAAGCAAGAACATGTACATGGGCCTGTTGCTTGATGTCTACACTGCCGTGCAGTTGACAGGGCTGCAATCCTTCCTTCCCCCCAGCGTAATCCTGATGCCCAAGCTCTTCATACACAGGAGTTTGAAGCTGCGACTGAAGCGCATTATCCGAAGGGTCCATCTGGAACATAACCTGGCAAATCTTGGATGTCAGTGACATGTGAGGCTGCATCTGGGCGCTTTCACAGTGCAAACAGAACAGTCATTCAGTCACCAGGGCTGCTTTCGATCATACAATCATACACTCCAATGGCTCCAACATGCTCCAACGAATTTCTCTGCTCCTTGATCCTAAACCTAAAACGGGAATTCCCTGCTTCGCGCAGGCTCTTGCAGCAAGAGCCGTAACACCAAAGTGATCCGAACCACTTGTTGTTACCATGGGGCTCAGTACTTACCACCAACTGGTCCAGGACAGGCTAAAACAAGGCTGGCTTCAGAGACCTCCCAACATGAACTGAGCCTTCTTAAACCCAGATCAATTTTGCTGCGCCTTGCAGCTTCTAGTAGCAGTCGCCCTCTAGACCTGTTAATCAGGACAGCGCCGCAGTACGACTCCTAGCAGGACAAACATTGCTCCCTCCCTGCTTGGCCCTTCGCACATGAAGAGCACGCGAATCGGCACAGCTACGCATCCCAAAGACATCTAATTACGCTCGAACCTTTTGGAGATAATTAGAATAGCAGTAGCACTAGCAGCCGCTGGCACCAAGCACGCAATTGTGTAATGACGGTATTCATGAGCAGTCTCAAGTTCCCTGAGCTTGCGCAAGACCAGAAATTCATCGTGAGGTGGACAATTGTCTGGGACCCTGCCCGTTGCACCGTCCTGGATCCGTGGACAGGATAAGCCGGGGGGGCAGACTGAAGAGTGCCGCGAGCCTATGCAGGCAGATGACGTTTTGTGGTGCTGTCTGCAATTGTCAATCCATGCGCTGTAGCAATTGTGCGCGCGCCGTTGCGCTTGAACACAAACTGTTGAACGCTGTTGATCTCCTGTGGCGTTGATTGTGATGACGCCTTGGAGGTACCAAATGCCTTGCACGCCTATGCCACTTGGAATTCAAGCATGCTGCATTCACCACCCTCATCATAGCGCATATGTTGGGAGGAACAAAGGGGCCCTAGACTCCATTGCATCCAGCTCTAGCCTTTGAAGCTAACAAATCTGAGCCTAAGTCCACTGCTGCTTTTAATCCTTTGCGAACCGGACATGCAGCATCCAAGTGGTGAGTGAGTGAGTGAGCGAGTACAGAAATTGCAGTCGGAATTTGGGAACCTCCTTCCCACATCTAGAGCGCTTCAACGCTACAATCAAAGTGATGCTTGGTGGCTGGCCGGGCCCGAGACAAAGCCCTGGCAGCTGCCCAACATGCCACCAAGCCTGGGCGTTCAAGGATGGCACAATGTGGCGTGCTGGATGGAGTTCGAGGAATCTCTCTTCTTCTTCTTCCACGGGCTTTGCGAGACCCTAAGGTCTCGCCGAGGCGGACCCCGAGCCCCGCGGTCACTCCAATGGTCGGTGCCCAGGAGGACCGGAGTGCGTGGCCACTGGAATTGGAAATGGGAGTCCTACCCCTACAGTACATTACGTAATCAGTTCTCTCCCAGCTTCCACTTCCTCGTAGCGAACCTCCCTGCTCAACCGGGTGGTGAAATGATTTTAGCTGGATTCACCTTGTCCTCAAGCAGCATACAGTCTACGAACAATACCTCTTCCATCACTTCCATTGCAAGGTGAGTATGCCAGCCCTGATTACCCCTCACATTTGCCGGGAACCCTCTGCTTTCCCATGCTGCTGCACTCTTGGCAACACCACGAGTATATTTCCCCCGCTGGCCCACTTACCACACCTGAGTACTCATTTTCCTTATGTCTCCCGGCATGTGGAGTGGTGTGAGACACGCTTCCCAACTGTGGTTATTCCCGTGGACTACTTGCAAGATTCCTCTCTCTCTCTCTCTCTCTCTGCCGGCCTGCGGACGCAAAGCCCTCGCTGCAGTGCGCCGGTCACATGTCATTGCACTCAGGGTGAACATGACAAAACATGACTAGCATAAAGTTAACAGAAGCGGCGGATGCAGCCACTCAGCGGCCAAACATCCAGCACATGAATGCACCCTCATGAGATTGCCACCTGTGACGAGTTCGTGGAATTTTTGTTTGACTCCCTCGTTCTGGGCAATTGACTGCTGCCTCTGGGATGAGATCTTGATATGATCGCGTATAAGTCGCATAGATGTATATTCATTATCTAGATTCTTCCTATGCCCAATTACGAATTGAAACATATTTCGCGTAGGCTTCTAATAATAATGGCATAATATACAGGTCTTGTCGTTATGTGCTGAGGTCTTGTCGCTCAAGATCCTATCCCCATCTTAATTCCCAAATCCTTCAATTCGCGACCCTTTTTCAGATCTCAAGTAAATCTTAAGCCCCCCATACAGAGCCCCACCTTTGTAGGATCCTTTGGACCAAGCAAACCCCCAACCTCAGAAACTCAAAGGTGCCAGAAACTGATCACATAGGCCAAGGCTCAAATCCAAAGACCAAACTCCAAACACGTACATGTAGGGGTTAGGGTTTGGGTTTTCGGGAAAGCCCAAACCCGAACTTGTGACTGCATGTTCTTGTTCACTTTAGCATGAACACCTTGTCTGAACGTTGGCATCGAGACAGTGTGTAGTCTTTACAGAACTCCAAACTTCAAACCCTAGAGACTGACATTCCGTATTCTGCTTTTGGAGCTCGGTTTGGCAAATTTGCAATCGGTTTGGCAACTTCACGGACACATGCAAAGTGGCTCTAATGCAAATTCTACAGGCTATTCCTACAGGCGGCCACCAGGCGTAAAGTTGTTGTACTATAGGTCCTTTGCAGCAGCAGGCCGCAAGCCGCAAGCTAGGGCCAAAGCGCAGCCAGGGAGACAAACGAAACCCTGCCAAGTGGGCAGCGCCTCGTTCAAGCTGGACCGAGGGTCGCACTGAGGCTCCAAGGTGGGAAGGGTTCTCACAGAAGATGGCTTTGGGACTTACAGCGTTTGGCTTCCCGTGTCACGATTAAAGGATACATGATTCATGCAGGACATACACAAGCTTTCAACTTGGCTGTCCAGGTGATCAGCAACCTATCCTTTAATTGGTAGACTGAAGCATGATAATGATGATCTTGGGATATCTTGGGCTTGAATCATCTTCATGCTTAACAATCGGTTCCTTTCAGGAGCCCCCGGCAATGACACAAGAAAGTTCTGGCTAAGGAGAGGTAGAGGCTGTAAGGACAAGAAATATCTGCGACCTGAGCTCGTCATCAGAATTGTACTTTGATTTCAAGCTGCGGGCCATGAGACTGAGGACCTTTTGGGCCCCTGAGCCTTCTGATTGCTACCGTGTGCTAACCTTTGTTGGATTTGTAACCCCTCCAAACATCGGGTGCATAGAGGTCGCCTGTAACAATTACGGTTCAAAATTAAAGCTGAAATTCGACTTCCTCACCTTGGGGCCAGAGAATTCTGACATGGTAAAAAATCATGCCAACATTTCACCTCGTCAAGGCCATTGGAATTGGACCATCTGATACCCTGGAACTCGGACCAACATCAGGCTCACAGCTCAATCCAAATGGCCAACGCCTTGCTGGCAGCCTCTCGCTGCGGGGGCCTGAGCTACGAGCACAATCTCTGCCAGTCACTTCCAGCAGAATAGCCCACGAAGGCCGCTGCATGCTTCAAGCTCTATACACCTCTACGCAAGTGACCTCTCGCGGTTCTGCGATTCCAGTTGGGACAGTCTGCAACTGAACTGGGACTGCACCCGCTCAAAAACTAAACCTGCTACTTGTCCAGCTGTCGTGTCAGTTACCATCACGAGATCTCGTCAGCCTGCCTCGTGAGGGGCTGCTTGGGGAGCATGGCGTTTCCGTGCAGGCCATGGCCAATGAAGGTTGCGTGAAACAAGGAATGCTGTCCACTTCACTGGAACATCAACAGGCCGGCTGCACACCCATCCTCGACCCCTGACTGCCAGCAAATTGCTGCAATTCTGATTTGCTTACCAGCACAGCTGCAGCCATCTCAGTATCTGGGTGGTGGACGAAACACGAACATAACAAGGATTTGAGCCATTTGAACTTGTGAAGCAGCGGGGCTTCCTTCGAAAAGGAGTAATATGCCGGAATGAGTGGCACCCTCAAAAACAGGTCTTGAACGTGAGTAGTTCATTGCTTTTGCGAGCAGGCACGAGGGAGCTCCTCCCTCGGTGAAACCTTCACGAAATTTAACGAGTTTGCAGCTTATGGACTGGGAACCACGACATGATAGGAATGCCTTGCACTGTCTTTGTTCAGAGGCATTGACTGCATTGATGACTATAGACTATAGACAACACGTGCAAGCAGTGATACACTGAAAGCAGTCGGTTTGACGCTTTCGCCGGTGAGAGCTTTTGGCCCGCAGCACGCTAGCAGCTCGCTAGCAGCTCGCTGACTCGTGTTTGTGTCCATCGCGCACGTCATCCTGAGCAGACAAAGTCAGCCAAGGCCAGCAAGCAAAAATGGCGGAGCCACAGGCCTGTTTTGGCGCGGCGCAGGCTCTTCACCAGAGCCCAAATCTGAGACTTCGCCTGACAAACAGCAGGATAGCAAGTACGGATGTCTATGCAAACGCGCAGTTAGCCACTTGCCTGGGGCCATGCCGCCTTCAAACAGGAGCAGCATACGCGCATAGACAGGATCAGTGTTCTTGTAATGTCAGTCTGATACGGTCTTGCAGTATCAAACCCAAGGCAAGCAGGACCCTGCAGCAACCATGCTAGACATAAGCACGCTGTACAAAATCCATGGCGCCGCTGGCCTCTTCGACTGGAACTTTGTCCGCGGGGTAAGTAGTACCTGCGCAATCATCACCCCAGGGGCCATCTTCTTGAGGAATTTTAAAAGAACTACACAGCTTATGCACTGTGATGTCCTGTTGAGAGGTATTCGTCTGAGGCAGTCCATGCTCTTTCACCCACAGATGTGACATGTTGCGTTCGGCAGGGCACCCAGCATTCTGCCACAAGCTTCAACCTCTTTGCCGTCCAGGAGAGCGGCACTGGGCAGGAGGCGGACAACACGTGCAGGTGACAGGCACCGGGAACCAATTGCAGCAGCAAACCGAGAACTGGCAAGCTTTGTGGAAGGCCTTTGGGTTCACCAGAAATGCTGCAGCTGGGAGGAACTGAAGGGGTGAGGTGTTGTAAGCATCAAACTAGGCGTTGTGATCTGCTGAAGCTCAAGAAACCCTGACTCCGTAGAGGTCCTAGATTTCAGGTTGCATCAGACATCGACAGACACATTGGTGGCAAAACTGGCAACGTTAATACTTGCCAAGACATCCTCGACGTTAGCATTGGCATACCTACACACCCTTTGTGTTCCGAGGCTGGCACCTGGATAGTTTTGCCATGACGTCTGCCAGGGGGAGCTCTTCACTGCCAGCAAATGCCTCTATCAAACTCAGGCGTTTCGCAAAAGTGGCTTGACCCAGCGCACGGCCCAGCACACATACACACAGACCTCACAGAACGTGAAAGCCCCCAATTTCCGACGACAGTCCAGGCTTGATTGCGCAGGCCTCAATAATACTTGAGTCACTTGAGGAATCTTGAGCAATCTTTAGGACATTGGGTACTCCAACGATCACCACATCGCAAAAAGCTGCATCGCGTCTAGGGAACCCAGGTCTATTGATCTTTGTGGAGCTTTATGCAAAATTTCCTCGTGCTTGCGAAATTAGCACAACTTTTTTGAAACATGCGAGGCATCAGGATTCTCGACAGTAGGTCTGATGCCATAACCTGTACCCATCGCTGCAGTCAAGAAGGCAGAAAGCACAGGCAGACAGCCAATCTCTAGAATGTTCATGCTTCCTCCTGAATACCTGCCAGAACGCAGCACTTAGTACACACGCCCAATAGGGGGAAGAGAGGATAGAATAGTTTGGAGTGTGAGGAGTTTTCTTGAACGACGCTGCTATGCCTTGGGATCCTTGATCCGATGGTCACACGACCTACCAATCACGGTGCCCAGGTTTGCTCGTTTACCTGGCGTGCCTCGTCCAGGGTGGAGAAGAATTTCTCCTCGTCCTGCACTGAACCCTTGGAGGGATAAGCTTTCTGAAGTGCGCTCCCTGCTGTTCCGTGCTATTTCACCGTGCTACTTCACATTGATCCGCAGAGGCCGCTGGCCTCAGGCGTTTGGGGTGGAAGACGTCAACCGGTTATGGGGCATGAAGCTCTGGTGGAACTCCTTAGAAGGCCCTGCGGGCTGGGCTTCAGATTCGCATCATTCAGGTGGACTCCCACAGGTTTGGCGTGGTTCCTACAAGGGATTCGAAGGAATTCCCCCCCTACCACACCCAACCTTCATTCTTGGCCCCCCCCCCCCTTGTTATGCAGCCAGCCTCCCTCTCTCAGATTAACACGCGGAAAGCTTGATGCAGCAGTTGGGCGACACTCCTAGGCTTGGAACAGTTTTCATGGGTTGTGTTGGGGCTGCCTTTGAAGCCTAGGCGCATTAAGCCGTAGGGGTTTCACGCTTCCAAGAATCTTTGGTACTTTATCGGTCTGCTGCCCAATGCCGAAGGATTAGTCAGGCCAGGCAATGAATGTTCAGCTGACTTTTTGGTCACCGGCGCGGGCTGGCTCAGAACGCGCCTCTACGAGCCCACTGTGAGAACGCGTCGGCAGGCCGAGGCGGCGCACGCTAGCATTAAGTAATATCAGTCAATGCCTCATCCAGCTCTGCCCCTCTACTCTAGTACGCGCCACCGTCACAGGCGGCATGATGCACAGCATCACTATCTGCAGAGCTTCTTTTAAAACAAGCCGAGACATGACAACATGAACCACGGTGCATGAATAAGTGAGCTTTGTCTGACATGAACGTCAAAGCAGGCAGCGCAGCATAATGTACACTGATTCCGGCACAAGGTTTGACAAGCCGAAAGGCGAAAGCGCTCGACGCAAAACAATTACTGATGCATCTGATGCTGAGCGTGCTGTAGCTACTTAGTTCCATTGCCGGGTTGAGTGCTTTATCCGTGCGGGCTTGATCAGCTACCACTACTGGTAGCCGGAATGCGGGGACGTGAAGACCTCGAAACTCCTTCAACACCCAACCACGGACTAGCTCATCCCCTGTAACAAATGACTGGCGAAAGGTAACTTCAGGCGAAGCTTGCGCGAGACGTGAACCACGCCTGCTTCCCTGACTACTTTACATCCATACCCTGGCACGGGGTACATGTAGCCATATGTAGTCCAGAATGAAGGCTATGCACGAAAATAGTGAGCCGCTTGCGACGCTCCTGCGCGCCTGGGTATGGACAGCTACTTAGTACATCTTGACGCAGTCTGCACACTCCATAAATCTCCATAACCTCCTTAACCCCTTAACCAATTGCTCCAAGTAAGCATGGACTGCCAAAAGACATCCTACAAGTGCAGTACCCGCTGCCTGCGCAACCGAGTCGTTCTTCACGATGGCCTTCCTTGGCCGGCAACCACCAAACGAAATGGCTTTACACACATATGTTCACGTACAGCGCCCTCAAGGTGCCTATGACTGTCCGTGACAATTGGCATCAGGGTCACAGAATGTCATTGGAGGACACAGATTTGGCGGCGTTGCGCCTCACCAGATTTGCTATAGCCCATTGCTGAAACAGGACTTCATGTTCGTGAGATGTTGTGTACGCGAGCATTAGCGCGTTCCCTGTGTGTTTGTAGCTAGGATCTTGCGCTGCTTGATGAAAGACGTCAAGCAGCCAGGACGTGCTCGACAGAACAATACGACGTCAATACGACATTCCGAGCATGTTTTTGCAAGGCCTGCAACCGCACGACATTGACCTGCACGTTGCCAAAGAAAGCCAAACTCGAGCCAAGCCTTTAAGATCCCAGCACCTGGATGCTTTCATACACATTTCTGGCAGCTGCGACTCATGTCGCTCAGCAGGCTCAGCAGACGCTGCGGAAATCCATTAATCAACTACAATCAAATCTCTGCCTGCTCTCGATAGTCATTTCACGAAGCTTCCAATCATCTTAGCTGCGGAACCAACGAATGCAGCCTAGTGTCTCGAAGGAGAGCATGGAGCGGATGAGACCCACCTATAGCATGCAGTGCAGATGGTCAGCCGCTGATGCTGGTTTAGGTTGCATGAGGCTTGTCCGAAGTATTCGGTATTACTGCATTGCTGTTTTGCGGTCAGGTCTGCCGTCCAAGAGCTTGAAGGCTTCAAGACCTCAAGCTTTGAAATCCGAACCTTCAGCTGCAGAGCCAAGACCAAGGCTATCCACATCATAGCTTTCTACGAGTACCTATCAAACGGCTAGGGCAGCATTTCAGCTTGCTTTATCCTGGATTTTTGCTGCGCGTCCTCAGTTTTTTGCAATTCTTCAGCCTGCCTGAGGCTTTCAGAACGCAGAAACTTTAGCATGCTCGGCTCGGCCATGAAATATCAAGACTTCAACGCCGCAAGCTTTAGGACTACAACCATAGGCGGCCGCAAACTGGGCATCCGAATTGGATCCAGTAGTAAGAAGAATGTGCAATTAAGCCAAGACTGCATACCTAAAGGCACCAGGTATGCGGATCTGCAGATCAGCACCACAGGCAGCCGCACCCTGCTCAAACATGGCTGGCCCTGGGGCTCAGGCAGCTCGGGGCACAAAGGAAGCGTACGAGATCAAGTTGTCTGCGTTGACCTTGAAGCGACTTGACTTCTCTCAAAGCTGCACAAAATGTACAAGTAGGTACACCGTACGGGCCTACATGCTCAAATTCAACTCTTTGATTTCCCGGGCAAGGTTTTTGTCCAAGTTTCTACCCTTCACGTTCGCGATGTCCACACGGGTGAGCGTGTGCCATCTTGTCCGCGTGTCGCTGTTCTCCCGTTGGGTGCTGGTTCACCACGTTGCCGATTCCTTTAGCCAACTCGGCGTTTCTAAACAAACGTCCGGCGAGCCCAAGACTTCTGGCGAACACGGTCATGCACCACAAGCACAGCCAGGCTGCAAGCCTCCCACATCTACCGTGATCTGTTGAATGGAAAATTCTGGTGCAAGTTTGCGTTTGTTCGTTCCTGTCCCATACGCTAGCTCAAACAGAGGGACTGTGTGACGGGCTGGCAGCAACCCAACACTCCTGTAGAACTTGCCATTCAGCTTCAACTTTCATCGTGGCTGCGCCAACGCCGTTTGCTTGCACTAGCATTACACATGTTCATTCAGGAGCTCCATGACAAGAAACGCCATTTCTTGCAGCTGCATGAGGCACGACTGCAAGCTTTGAGGCATATCATAACATAAGTGCTCTGTCATGCTCTGACCTTGCGTCCCCGCCTCTGCTTCACTTAGGACCGTGTAGATCTGCATGCGGGTTAGTCCCAGCATCGCCTCCAGCCACCGTGTGTCCAGGTTCCGGGAGATGAGAAAGGTGCTTAATTTCTGGGCCAAAAGGATTCAGAAGCAGATCTTTAGTGACTTGGAATCAGAACTTCGGAAATCAGGAATAGGCTACAATTAGGGAAAGTTGCGTCCAGAAACACACAAGATCTCATGACGAGGCTGAGTCAAGTTTGGCGGTGCCAGTGCAGAAGCCTACTGTATCCTGTTGTAATGGTCAGGTATGCTCAGATGCAGCCATGACCTGTACAACTTGATTGTTCATGGTGCCATGGCTGAAGGGTGCCACCTGTGCATCCTGCATCATCCTGCACGATCACACAGAACATCTAATCGAAAAACCTTCCAGAGGCTCGCTCTTCAAACATCTGCAAAAGACGCACAAAGCCCCAAAAATAACAATGGGCACAAGGCTCATTTGGGGATGCAGTACAAGTAAGTCACAGGCCTGGTGCAGAAGGTCCCGCATGTCATCCAGCCCCAGCAAGCCGGTCATTTCGGTATCCTGGAAGCTCTGAGGTGGGGCTGCTGGAGTGGCTCCGCGTCCATTGCGTTGCTTGAAGCGACTTCGGGACTTCTGCATGCTGTTTTGGGCAGCTATAATCAGCTATAGGCTTAGTCTCCTCAAAGCCAGTAGGCACGCATATCATTGAAATCCATGTTTATTGCCAAACTCCGATCCCCAACATGTAATCGAATGTAGCCTCCTTGGAGAACCTTTCCCAGAAGAACGAAGGCCTTGGCTTTGAATAAATCCAGGATGTACTGCGCGAGCTCGTCGTTTTCCAGTTCGGACTCCAAGAGCCGGAGCCTAACTTCGATGCACCAAGTAAACAAAAGGAACCATATCCTCTCACCGTCAGATTGCTAATTTGTTCAGGGTCACCAGAAACACACATGCCAAGGTTTAAATACGATTGCGCACAAAGCGTTTTATGAGCCTTCTACTGCGGTTTCATTTCCACTGATCCCCAAGCCGCGACCACGTGTGTTTTGCACTGAAATACTCACGCAAGAAAGGGATGTCTGCGGGGAGTTGTCTTTTCACATCTGCTTTGGCTATGAACGACTGGAATAGGTCGTAGCAAGCCCACTCGCGCAAAAGATAGGTCAGGAAGGCATGCTTGCATTAGGATCTGGCGAAGGCTGTCCCAGCTCGAGCGCCCGCTGAGTTGAGGCATCTGCGATGCCATCTTCTGGAGCAGATCGAAGGCGAAAGGCACAAATTCTCTGTAGGAGACGTTGCCATCTTGGTCCTGTCGTGGATGAAAGCAAGCTACCAAAATGCTCGCAAATCTGAAGCCGCTGCCTGATCGACTTGGAACATGATGGCATTGATCTCCCGCCGCGTTAACCTCTGACGAAAGCAGGTCCCGTGAAGTGCAGAAGTTCAGGGGTCTGCCTGCTTTGCTGTAAGCGCTTTGCATGGACTAAGGTGACGAAAGCTGCGCAAGTAAAATGAAACCAGGCTAACATCACGCCCAAAAATCTGCAGAGCTACAGAGATGGGGCCCACATTGACCCACCCATCACCCTTCTCTGCGCAGTGTCGCACAGCATCGGTTCCCCTAATGAGACCACTCGGAAGTCTGTTTGGTCTGGTACCACCAGGGTTGTCAGGTAGAAAGCCGATTCTGTTCATTCAATGTTCATTCTGAAGGCAGGCTCAGCGAGGGTGTCCCCCTGACAGTCATTCTATGAGTTCCGTCAAAAACTCTTCTCAGGGTCCTTCGCGTCTCTTTTGAGGACTTCTATGATGCAAGCTCTTCTCAAGGCCTCTTCCTCTACCCACTCTACTCTAACCGTGACATGAATGTTGACTTTTTGGGCTGAACGCCTGACACGTTTCTTGGTCGACTCCCTGTCAAACCTCCAGTTTTGAATTCCATGTTGCATCCAGGAGATCTAGACTCCAGACCCTGCCGAAGAAACTTCTGCAGGCTACTTGCTTGTCAAACTTGGAACGTAAACAACTCTGGGCACAGCACCCAAGCTCCATGGAAGTCAAGGCTGCAACAAATTCCTCGTCGAGATACGAGGTTTAGGTCTTTAGTCTGAGCCATGGGGTTCAGAGTTCAACACAAACTATCGCAAACTGTACCCCTAGATAGGAATGCGAAGGGAAAATCAACACATGAAATGCCGCATCACTTCTTGTCAGAGTCCTTCAATTCAAATCCTAAGGCACTGCTTTCCAAAGCCCATTCAGTCCGAACCACTCGTTGCTAAAGTGCCAGGGACAGGATTGTTTCAAGTGCTCCGTTTGAGGGGTGCAGTATTTTGCAGATGCAGTTCGTTTCTGCAATGTATGGCTTAGGATTCAAGGAACGTCTGCCGCCTGCTTGTTCAGCTGTCCGCTGCGGTCCTGTGCAGGATGTGGCTCCAAAAAAAGCAATGGCGAGCTTTCTTCATGATGTTTCGGGGAAGTGCATGTAATGCCTAGATGAGTACATGGGAAAGGGTTGGGTGCAATCATCCATGAGCTCCTAGAGTGTCTTACTTCATGACGCGAGCCGCGTTGGCAGCCGCGTTGGCACAAACTAGGCGATGATCATGAAGGTCTTTTAACCTAACCGATAAGTACTAGAATTTCCAGCAATTCCCGGGCGATTCCAAAGCAGTCTGCACTTTCCTCCCAAGGTTTGCTTTCCCACGTCAGCTATAGGTTGTGCTGCGGCTCCATTTCCTCGAATATCGGGATCTGAATCCCATTGCAGTTTGCTGGGGGCAAAGGCTGCCAAGCACAAGAAGCAAGCACGAAGCCGCAGCATGCTAATAAGCGGGCCTCGTCCATTCGCTCAAACATGCTTCCAACCAAGGTCGTGAGCTCCTGGCCAGCATTCGTCGAATACTTTTCTGCTTCTAGCTTTATTTAAATCTAGCTGTTTGTACGAATTGGCAACGCAGCGCACGCTTCGGTGATGCCTTTGGGGCAAACATAAGCAAAGCCTAAAACTCCTCTGCCCTTAAGCTGAGCTCTGCCTCGCGCGACATGCCGTGGACCAGAAGTTCCTCCGCTTGGAGGTCCACGTCCGACTGGGCAATCTACCGATTGCTAGTGACACCCTTCGTGCTACTGCCAGCATCACGACCGCTGTGCCGTTGCCTATGGAATCAAGGCGCGGAACCTGCACAAAGTGGAACCTGAAACCGATCATGGCTGCCTCTTTCGCAGCCCCACGGTGTAGTTCAGAGGCAGGTTGGTGTTAAGCATATTTTGCTTTCGGTGGTCACCGGTGTACACACAGGAGAGCAAGTAGATTCCCCAACCCTTGAAAGAAGGGCAAGTCGAGAATAAATCACCCCAAATATGGGAGGCTTGAGCTCCAAACCCTAGGTCAGAAGTGAGAAAAACAAACGCAATTAGCAGAGCTTTAAAAATGAAGCTGGATTGCCTGGTGAGCAGTCTGCTCCGCTGTTTTGGGAAGTTGAAATTCCACATCCCGCTGTGCTCTAAGCAAACATTCCCTTCTACTGCAGGACTCCATGTTCAGCCAGGCTTTGGCCATCAAATCTCCAATAAAACTGACAAACCAAACGTGTCACATGTGTCACGTATCATCCTCTTCACGGCAGCTCCTAGCGTCCCTTGCGGCTTAAGGATCCTGCAATGTGCTGTTCCAGCCGCTTCTTCGCGTACCTCGTTGCCCAAGGTTTGCTGTGGGAGTTTGGATACCCGGGTCTTCTATAAAACTTGTGGCTTCAGCTTCCAGATTACAGCAAAAAAAACCTAATTAAATCCTTTACAGATGAACTGCATTCTCGGTCTTCTTTTTTGTCGCTTTACGTAGGGTGCTTAGGTCCCAACTACAGTACCAATAAGTGCTAAAACTAACGCTTTATACAGACAGTAAGTAAGAGCTTTCCATCGTTAGCTTCCTGCCTTCTGGACTTGGCTGGGTAGCGCGTGGCTTGCCAAGACAGGTTCATTGAACCAAATTTGTCGTGTTGATTATCTCTGTCGCATTGTGTGACGCCCGCAAGTTGTCCCAACATGGCTGTGCTCAGCCGGATATGAATAGCAATAAGGTGTGACCCAGAATGTAAGCGTTCCTGTTTTTTATTCCTCATCAAAATTCAGGGGATGGAAACACTTTAAACTCGCGGCCTGCCTGTGATTCCTCCAGGGGAGATGGCGCTCGCATCCAAATTGCTTCTAGCTTATCATTCCGAATGACAAACCCTTCATCTTGAAATGCAGCAGCGATGCCCTCACTCATGTAAAGGCGCGCTACTTCATCCAGGAAAGCTGGCTTGCCCATAAACGGTAGTGCAAACTTGTCATGCTTCCAGAGGTCCTGTTTAAAGGGCCTTTCTTCTGCATGTGTCACCTAGAGGGCCACGCTACTGTCTGCAGAATCCCTACCGCCAAGGAGATGAGATCACACGCATGCAAGCTGATCCGAACATGAATCGGCTACAGCAAAAGCAGCTCGAATGCAGTCTCCAGATCAGGCTCACATGCCCTGGATGATCTGGAGGGCCAAGGGAATGAACTCCTGCGCTGATTTCAGGTAGACTGCAGCACTCGCAACAGGACTGGCGGCAGTAAAAGTCGGGTCAGCGGTAAATTCCCCGCTGGCTGCTCTGGGTTGCGATTGGGATGTGCGGGAGAAGCGGCATCCAGGCCGGAAACATTTACTCACGCTCTGCTCATCCGACGCCTTAGCTTCGGGGTGATTGTGGTTGAGGTTGGGTGCCCTGGAAATCTCGACGGTTGCCTGGAAAGATGAGACAGCACTGAGCTTCGGCAACAGAAGGTTGGCTGTTCTAGGGGCGCGGGCATAGGTTCACATGCCATAATCTAAAAGCTCTCCCCTCATGGAGCCAACTATGTCACGGTCCTCGTACTCGATCATGCCGTCTGCATTCATGTCAGCCTGCACGAAGCGGACTGCAGAGAGGAAGCAGCAACAGCAGGGCTCCATAAGGGATTAAGATCAGGTGCATCACACTAGACAACATACATACAGCTCGGGAAGATAAAACATATAAAACAAACTTGACCGACCAAAGGGCTCCGAAGCCTTGCTCGACCGCTATTTTTTGCGAAGCAGTCCCTTCTAGCTTTCCTGCCCAGACTCTCACACACAATTGCACGAATCGCAAATCCGCGCAAAATACAGAGATCTCTATCCCTGAATCTCTAGACACCCTTCAGATTCGCCGACGGCCTCAGCCAGAAAAAGGAGGATCTCGTCCCGGGGAAAGTCCAACCTCTGCCTTGAAGCCAAAGCTTTTGTGACGGAAACTTTGATTCTCACTGCGCTCTCTTCTCACGAACCCTTGACCCACTCCGCGCATCCAAAAGGCCTCTTAAAGCAAGTCTTATGCGGTGAAAGGCTGTAGAATCTACTTGTCAATCCTGGGACCCTGGCTGCAGGTCTTCCATTAGTGACTTGAACTCCTGGGGGTCCAGGAACTGGCTCGCATCCTGACAGCGGGCGTTGAACACTTGCACTTACTGCCAGAGGGCGGAACATGGCCTTGCCTTGGGGCGTATAACAGGGTAGTTAGTCCTTAGCGGCCTTAAAAGGTAGCCTTGTCTGTGTGTGTGTGTGTGTCTGAAATCCGTTCTGGGAAGGCTATTGATTAAAGCCTCGGGTCTAAGACGCTGCAGGCATTTCCCAGCCTTGTCATACTTTTTGAAGAGGTCATGGATGATTCCCTCAACCTCATCTAAGGACCTGTGCAGATCAGTGCAGTGCATGCTGCAATGTCAGCCTGCAAGAGAGCCTGGATGCTTCAATTGAACCTACACTGAACAATTCGCCTTGGGACCCGAGTCCCTTGACAACTACCGGAAAATGAGGCTCGGGAACTTGCGGACTGACTTCAACATCCTATGGCATTTCTCAAGCCTCTGATTTGGAATGACTACTTACAGTACTGAGCGTCCCTGGCATGTGCTTTGCGAGAAGGCAGCAAGATCGCTATTCCAACACTCTACTTCCTTGACATACTCTTGACATTAATCCTTCCAATACTTCTGGGACCTGTCAGGAGTCCCCACAACGTCCCGATTCAAGGGTCGGGGCATGTCCAGCTCTTCTGCTGCAGCTGCCTGGCGAGATTTGTAAATCTTGTGACAGGCTTGTCTTGTAGGATCCTAGCCCTCGACGATGTGGTGAAGTCCATATCGCCAGCCTGGCCGGCATCGGCAGGTAAGCCGCTGGCCAAACACTCGAAGTACCTCTCAGCCCACAATATGCAAAGAAGCCTATGCCTAAGCTTTGGCGGTGGACAAGCTGCAGAAGAAACGAGGCCGAGGTAAAAATAGCTCAGCAATGCTTAGCATGTCTGGCGCTCTCGCCATAAGCAAGTCAGAACCCGTCAATCTGAAACACTGAGATCTTCCGCAGCCATTCGTAACTGGTCGAATCTGAAGCTCAGAGCAATGGCCTGGCATCCTGACATGCAGCCATGCATGTAAGCTGCAAGCTGGGCACTTCGCGGCAAACTCATGGATGTTCTCAGGTTGCGAGCGGAGGACTTCGCGAGTAAAGTCCTGAAAAAGCCAGAAGCCAATGACATCTAACAAGGCGCACACTTAAGCTCCAATAATGATTCCTCCCACACAGGTCAAGAATCTGAATTCATACTAAGTAAGGACTCCGTGGAAGTGGCCAATGAGAGCTTGGTTTGTTCATTGAACATCCAAAGTGATTCTACCCTTGCGTCCTTCAGAATGTCCGGAAACTCCGGTGGAACCTCAGTGCCCCACGAGCGGGCTCTCTATTGGGAGCTACTGTCAAGATGTCTAACTCACCATATACGTAACATGGGATTCCATAAGGCACATGGTAGGGACGATAGCACACTCGAAGCAGGCACCCAATGTCAGTGCTGGTGTTCCCGTGGTGTTAAAACACACACACACACACAATAGCTTCTCAAGGAGCAGTATTAATTACAGCGTGCATCTAAAATTTTCAGGCCCAAGGTCAGCACTTGGTACTGTTTCGCGAACTTGCTGGACCTGAGCAACTTCTGGGTCAAAAGTTCCAAGTCCAAGCAATCTAGCTGAGATCGGGGCATGGCGGTTGGCCCAACAGTTCTGCTGGGACTCCGGCCGGCTCTCTACTCTGAACGGAACCACACGGCCCAAGGCACAGCCCAGTGCTTTCACCCATGGATTTGCAGCACATACCATGGGGCAAGTGCATCGGACTTGTCGTGTTTTCACACCTTAGGCGTACCGAAAGCTCTTCTCCCGCTTCGCGGGAGGGATGGGCAACTGGGTCGAACCACATTTGCAAAGCAACCTGCGTACGCTCTTGTCTAGCCGACTCTAGCACCAGTAATTCAACACGTCTCCGGATCTCGAAGAAACGTGGCAGCGAGCCCACCAGAACCAAATATTGCTTACATGGCCCTGACTGGTCAGTGGACATGTGCAGCTGCTGCAGTAGCCAGCTCGCTGAGCAAGAGGTACAACAGAAGGCGATCAAGAGCTGTATTCAAAGGTAGCCATAAGCACGCTGGCCACTTTTAATCTAACTACGTGGAGCGCACGATTGCTCTGGTTCTGCTGTCCTCCAGCCTGCCAGATTAGCACTGCAACATTCTGCGCCACTGCACGGAAGAGCCAATCTGAAAGCCATCTCACTTCACCGGACCCAAATGACTCGCTTGCCTTGGTAAGTCGTTTATGGGACCAAGATAAATGCGGCAGCATGAAGAATGCAAATGGCAGCTCCGAATATTAGCAAACATTGGCTGTCTGAAGCCGTGCACAAGAGTCACACGTGCCCCTAAATCTCCTAAGGTCATGTAAGGTCCTATGATGCTCACATCAGAGCCAGACTTGAAGATTCGGCCGTAGTCGTAGGCTTGCTCAATCAGCAGAGGCTTGGAATGCACCTGAGGCACGGTGCAGATTGGGTGATATTTCCAGCACAGGGGCTGCGTCGACAAGATGAATCCAGTTGTGGTCAACGTAGCCAGCCTTGTGATACATCCTGAGCACCTCCTCCTTTGACGCTTTTGCTCTCCGATCCTCTCACAGGGATAGGAGTTTCTTTCCGAGAACATTCCGCTCTGTTCTGTTCCAAGAGAAAACGCCCACCAGCAACGTACTGACATAGAAAAAAATGCTCAGAGAATCCACTACGAGTCATTCTGGCATGAAGTGCATCTCAACTTTACACGCTGCACCCAAATTTCCCTCTCAAACGGACAGGCTCACAGGGTCGTATTCGTCGGCCACTGGTGCCTGGCATGCAGAGGGCAGAGGCAGAGCGTGTCGCTCCTGGCAGCATCTTCTTGCATCCCACTTAATCCCACCCATCCGCCTGGAAGAGGGAAGTCAAGGCCTCTCGCATCAGCAAGGCACCGTTGCGCCCGGCTATGGCGGCCACCTTCGGGTTTCCTACCAAGCTTAAAGACGGGCCACTGGTGCCACAGACAGACTGCGCCAAAAAACATAATCTGAACCCCACATACTATGACAGGAGCTGCACCCTGCTTGAATCTGCTGGGAACATGCTTGCAAAGTATCTGCACTGCACCATCTCAAACTCTGAAGCAGAACCTGAAGCCCAAGAAGCTCGATCCTGAATCTCAGCCTCTGAGGGTACAACACGCCCTTGATTTTCCACCTCCATCGCAGAAGCCCCTGTCTCAAGCCCAGAGGTGTAGAGCAACGCTTGCTCATCCAACCTGCTGTGGTCGAGGGCCGTGCAGAGAAACATTTTTGAGTGACTTAAGAACTAGGGCTGTTTTTGGAAATTCTTCATTCTCCGAATTTTCAAGTTTCTCAAAGATCTCAATTCACCCAAGAGAAGCCCGACCGCGGATTCTAGAGTGCCTGAAGCTGGCCCAGTGCTGGCGAGCCAGCGGTTTCAGCTGAGGGTAGGCTGACCAGACGTATCTGAAGATGTCGAAGACCTCATGCGACTTCAGGTGTAGAAGCTGGTTTTCTGCTGGCTCAAACGCCTCCTCCCACGCAGGAGCCGTGCCTTCAGAATAAAATATCCACATGACAGTGTGATGAGGGTATGATTTCTTGTAGGGTGTTGAATTCAGGATAGCAGGTGGTCAGAGTCGGAAGAACGCTGCATGGCTCATCTGACTGTCGCAACGCGTGTGCGGAAGGCTATCAGGCTGACAGCACATAAACTTGGACAAGCTTGAAGCGCGCACTTCTTCCTGGAAGCGAACCCTGCATGAAGCCTGCTACTCTAAGGGAGAAGTCCATAGAAAAGCTGTGAGTTATGAGGCAGACCTAGCTGCTCACATGCCTTCCGTGCAATGAATAGTCGAGGATCTTGGGGCCTAGTACGGCCAAAGCGGGAGATATGCTGTCTTTAAGCCTTTTAGCCTTTTAGTTTGATGAGACGCAAAGTCAAACGGCGTCAAGTTGCCCGGGGATACGGATGCGATAACCGTGTTTTGCTTGAGTCACTCTATGAGTCTGTCAAAAAGAAGTGTCTTTGCTTTATCGTTGTCAGGATTCTACGGAGCTGCAGGTGGCGCACCTCGGGCGGATTTTGCCTACAGTTTTAACAAGGCCGCCCTGAGGTGATGACAATATTGGTCCATGCAAAGGTTGCATCAATGCTTCTGCTGCGACCCGTTCAACCTCAACCTCGCGCTGCAGCTTCACCGAGTGCGGAACCCTTGGAAAGAGCGGCTGGATGTCCGAATCATGAAGCTGCCGCCGCGAGAACAGCTTCACCTCAAAAACTGCGCGCTGAAGTGTCTTTGTTCTGAAGCTGGATTGCTACATTTTAAGTTAAACAGGCGCACTTGCTATGTGCAATCTGAGCCCATAACAACCATCGACCCATCAGGGAACTTCCTGTGAACCTTGGCAAAGGCTTGGGATGACGCACCAGGGTGGAGGCATAATCCTTGAATCTGTAATATCCATTGAGAGTGCTAGCAGGAAGATTGCTAGGTCATACTATGTCATACTCCCACCTGGCAGGGCCCGGCAACGGAAGTGCTTGATTTCTCCTTTTTTACCCCAGCGTTTGTTGTCGCCCTCGCGGTCGCCGCCTCTATTGTCATCATCACAGAAAACTCCGGCGGCAGGGTAGAACCGTTATTCTGTGGCCGTTTTGTAATTGTAGGTTTCAAGGTCAAGCATAGCGAGCAGGGGCAAGGATCCATGTGGTCCCAGCACAGACAACAGTCCGAGTCCAGGATCCGGTCAGCTTTATTTTGCTAGAACCCCGACAATGTGAGCTTTGGGGCAGAGGCACTTGCAGCAGACAATCGTTGACGTCTCAAAGCAACTGATATGCTGTTGTTTCAGAACACAGCTCGGTGGCTGCGCGCTTTTCTTTTTTCCAAATAGCAGCTGTGGTCATGCCTACTTCCGAAAGGCAGCAGAACTCTAAGGTATGTGCTCCAAACGAAGAGAAAGGAGACGAAGAGTCCTGCATATCAGACATCAAAGCGTATGAAAGTAAGTCATGACCGTCCCAGCAGATCGAGGGAGGATCTCCAAGAACGTAGATTCGTAGATCGGAGTCTGACATATCAGAGTTGCAAGGCTCTACGAAACCTACATACGTGCAGTGTCCTCCGTTGTGAGAACTGTTCCCGGGACCGTCTTGGCATTGGTAGCTTTCAATCGGAAATAAGTCTCATTGAGCTGTCCGTGAACGAAGGTCACATAGGTGGCCTGGTACCTACCAGATCGGAAGTGCATCTGCTGTCGAGTCTGAAGTTCAGGATATGTACTAACATGTGTCAAGTCAATGGCCCTCCTGTGACAAGATGGAGAAGCGCGTTTGCTGTGCAATACTATCCACTTGTTCAAATCTACATAGCCCCGGGCTTTGTGATCGCGGGCCTCCTCCCGCTTCCCGCGTGCTGCCTGGCTTCTGCAGGCCTAGGTTCTGCGGAAGCTTCCGTATTCCTGAACCAGAAGCTTGCCTTCTCAGCAGGGTCTTCAGCTGCGTACATCAAGCATGGGATTTCGTGGAAAGCTTCTCAGCTGCAACCTACTGAATGAGGCAAGAATCACATCAAGAACAAACGTCCAACCAAGAGGCAGCTGGATGGCAGTTAGCTCCAGAGGCGTTGCTAAGATCACGCCATCAAAGTGCTCGGACCTTTTTGTGGACTGCACCGTGTAGCCTGGGTACGAGGGGTGCGAGAGACCAGAAGTGTTCCTGCTGTGCGTCAACGAAGTTACATGCAGGTGCGCATTTGGGCACGTCTGCCAGACTCTAGATTTCAGACTCTGGATCAATATGTTCAGCTACTAGCAGCACAAGTTCTGCACGACTTGGCGCGTGTTTGAGAGCAGCTGTCAGGCAATAACATCCAACACGAGTTCGCAGCTTTATCAGCTTATATACAGCAGCTGCTGTAAACGCTACCGTCACAAGAACAGACTTTCTCTTGGCTGAGCTCACGGCCTGTTGCATTCGCAGTAACCCGAACCACCCGCTCTCCCAGTCGAACCCGCGTTGCGGATGCAAGAAGCCCGCGCGAGATGGCCTCGATGGTTTTACACAAGCACTTTCATGTTGGGAATCTACATGAAAATCTGACAACCGCAAAAAGGTATCGCAGCCAACTATGCCGGACAGAGATCCCGTGTACAAAGTTGGCAAGCTGAATCCTGAACCGTGCTCAAAACCATCAAGCGCTGTCTACCCGCGTGGGAAATGTCGAAAAACAGAGAGCAACACAACACTTCATCTGGAAGCCGCTGGAGGACCGGGTCAAGGCATGCATCATTCAAGATTGTGCAAACTAAATCAAGCACGCACCTGGCAGAAAGTCAAATGAAAAAGGGGCTCCCTGAAAATGAGCCTCGAAAGCCAATGCCTCGGCCTCTGGCCAAGGTGGGCGGAACAAACTGGAACTGGTCGTTCACCGCTCTCCCTCTCCCACTCACTGCACTTTCATGATACTGAAACTATCTCCACCCTACCTACCTACCTACCTACCTACCTACCTACTTACCGACCGACTTACCTAGCTACCTACCCACCTACCTACAGCACCCACCGCGGTGAGGCCCTCTACATACACCCTACCCGTCCCCCCCCTTTCACCCCTCGCCCCCGCAACTCATCCCCATCCTCCCCATCATCCTGGAAGCAGGCAGAAGGGCTTTCAGTCGTGCATTCCAATGAAGGAACTGAAGTTCTTCCACGCATGAGACATACAGAAACCATTTGTTACCGCCCTACACCCTAAAGCCGCAAGCCCTGAATCCTTCAACAGCCGTGCACCAAAGAGCACATCCCCCAACATCACTTAACAGGGAATTGCAGGCATGGCTATATTGACCTTGGTTGTGTTTGCCCGCTAGGGCCCCGCGAACCTCCAAATACAAGCAGTTGTAGGGCTTATCCAGGGCATTCACGGGGAATAATATAGGTGGTCATTCTGATATGCGTGCTTATAGGCATCATACCTTTAGATGACCACTCATGTCATTGCCTTTGGGGGCTTCTAGATATTGTGTGCTGCACAACCTCTGTATCAAGCGCGCGCAGAATTGCCGGGGGTCATCCATTTCAGGCATGAAGTCCCTGAAAAGTTAATTTCCTGAAAATGAACCTGTTTTCTGAACCTTGCAAAATCTACTATCTAGGATAAATACCTGGCTGTGACAAGAGGTTTTGGGTTTTCCCGAGTCATGGATTGGTTGGTTCTGAAAGAAGCCCTGCGAGCCGGGATTCAGAGGCGGACACGCGCCAGCGTTTACATTAGGCACATTGCTGTTTTGATTCCCAGCGGCCTGGGTTCCATTCGCAAGTCCAAAAACGTGACCTCCCACACCCACACCCGCCAGGGAAATCAAGTCTGCGAAGCTGTTGAGGGTACCTCAGAAGTTTGACATTGGCTTCTCTTTCCTGTCCTCCAGCTTCATGGCATGGTGATTGAAACATATTGAAACTATCTAAGCTTTGTGCCACCCTATCTGAAGATCCCACCTAGATCAAGCAACTGTAGCGCACGTTCGCGATGGCCGCATGCGATTAAGCTGATAACAGGGTTATTAGTTGCTGCCTGCGAATGATTTGGTTTTGCGAGGCTTTGCCATGCGTCGTGGCAGCAAAGTTGCCATCTTCTCAACCAAATCCTAACCCCCGCACACACTCGTCCTGCAAAAGGGAGTTGACATGGTTGGGACACGCCATGCCCAATCCGCTCTGCAGGACTGCAGGGCAGTTCAAAGGCTGAAACGTTTGGGTGGGCTCAGATTCAGGTACCTTCACTGGGTCGTCTGGACTGTGACAATGTTGACACGGTGGAAGGGGAAGGAACTGTTCAGGCCGCAAAAGGGGCTAAATAGAAATCTAGTGCTAGTGGGGATGACGCCGCGATGCTGCTTATCGCCTGACAGGCCCTGGCTCACGTCTCGCAGTTGTCATTGAGCACGCAAGTCTTGAAACACAGAATGAATGGAGCATCTAAGACTATTTAAGGTTTACCACAGCCTCGCCTGCAAAGTCATGCGTGGATATGCGTGGTCAGCATTGGAACAGAACACATAACTGGCCAACATGGCATTGCTTGGGCTAGATGCCAGGCTGATTGTAGTTGCACCTGGAAGCACCATCAACCATCTCTCGGACAAACTTCTGGCCAACACCTCGGCGAGCAGCGGCTGACACAGAAGCCATGCTGGCGTATCATAGCTTCTAGCGGAAATCATCATCGTCGTTATTAAGCAAGGCTTCCTGCATGCCGAGATATTGGGCCAGCTCCAAGCTACCATGCTGTGGTGTGCGGGCATGTAACTTTGGGGAGCTCTCATGGCGCATAGTTTTGCAACCTTTGAAACATGCTTAATGTCGTTTTGAAGGTTCAGGCCCCGGTTCCACTGTTGGGATTTCCTGCAGGCATACGTTGGAAAACAGCTGGAACATGACGCTTCAATCTGACAATTGGAAAAGCCTTCATGCTGCTGCCACCGTTTCGATGGAGCATTTATGCCAACATCCTTTTCCGCTGTGGCCAAGGCTTGCTACGTCTTACAAGTAACAGAGAGGGAGTCTCAAATTTTGCAAAGTCGCCAAGGCTCGCAAAGTAGTCATAGGCAGAGGTCTGGGTCAGGTTGAAAACGCCCAGGGCATCGAAGAGCTCCGCAGGAGTCTTGAAGCTTTGCTGCTGATCTTGAAGGCTGTAGATTCTGTCGAAGCTGTCAACGGCTTTGCGCACAGCAGGAATCACATGAAGAGGCGACAGCCCGTATCCTGCAGCTTCGGCATTGCTTGCTGGATAAGAGCTACAATAACAAGTCTCGGTAAGCGCAAACTCCTGACTCAGAATATCTCAGAATAGGCTGCTGGGCAGTTTAGGTACATCGCCATGTGAACCTGTTCAAACAATGGTAAGGAGCCTCACCTGCAACCGGAAAGCTCCTAGTCTGAGTCGGAGCTTCATCAGCTTCTTGCTGGTATCGTGAGTCGTGCACTTCCCGAAAACAAGAAGCTAAAACAACGCTGCCATGCAAGTACACATCTCACACGGAGCATCTGTCAGCTTGGGTTGGGTAATACATGTCGAGGCGCGCCAAAGCAGCTTGGCTCCGAGGTCCAGCTTGCTGTCTGAATCCACCTCTGGATGCGACTTGCACTTGTACAGATCCTGCTTCGCCGAGTCATGCCCACATGTATGGTATCAGAAAATGTGGACTGATGATGCTGCCGTGCGCTGCCTGCCTTGATGCGAAACTCGTCGCCGTCCCAGATGCCGATGTCTGAGTTCACGCCATCCTGGGTAACGTGGGAGAAATTAAGGCGGCGGTAGAGCTGTCATGGGCTCTTCTTGTACGCAGCTGGCTGTTGGGACTCCGGGACACCGCCATGCCGACATGCATCGGTGTAAAGGCTCCTGACCTCTTCCACGCCCAATCCTAGTCCCCAACGGTCACAAGCATCAACTCTAGCCAGGCTTCATCTCCCCCTGCAGGCAATAATCCGAAGCTCTTCGCAAAGCCTAAGCTGCTACAGTACGTCATGCCAGTTTTAGGCGTCCGGAATACAGCAGCTGAAGATTTCAACTTGGGGGTCAAGTCCACTGCAACAGAAAAACAGATTACGCGCACCTGACAAGCACAATCTGGGTTGTTCTGCATACTTGTGCAGAAATACTGATTAATGTGACCATAGCATTAATAAAGGGGGTGGCAATAGCATTTTGTTGCCGGGCCGGGAAAATCCCGTACAATCAAATTTGCTTTCTAACAAGTTTTGAGCCCAACCAGGTCTACTTAGGTCCAAATCGCAATAATAAAGGGGTGACAATAACATATTTTTCCGGCCCGGAATATCCTGATTTTTC